GCGGGAAATATTCGATATAGTTATATCAATTTATGTAAAAAAATTCGATTCGATTTGTCAACTGATTTTTGTTATAAGAAAATAATAATATAAATTTAACTTATTTAACTTACCTATCGTAATTCCTGTAAAGCTTTGTTAGTTTTTACACAGCAATAATATTAACAGTTATCCAAGAAGTAAAGTTACTTTCTTTGCACAGCCACAAAAAGTTGAGTTGAATATATTAATATTCTTTGCTTGTTATTGACAACTTTTATTTATGCGTAAAGGTGCTGAATTGGTGTTATTAAATCTTTGATAGACAGTTGTTATACACTATTAATATTTTATAGATTTAAATGCTTGTCAAATTCACAACAAAAGGAAAAATTTGCACATAAATATGCCACGACGAGCGCGTCAAAAACGAACGAGCCTGAAACCTCGACTGAACCTGAGCCGGAGCTAAGCTTCAAACTTTGAGCGCGCGAGTGAACACAAACAAACACACATACGTTCGTTCAGTCGCTCTTTTACTCTCTTGACTTCTCTCTCATTTTCTACTTTGTTGCGCTTGTTTGTCATTGTATTTGTGTATGTGTGTATGTATGTGTGGGAGTGTAAAACCAGTTTGCTTGAGTTTAACTGCTTGCCACATGTGGCAAATGTGTTTGTTTGCTTGTTGCGCTTGCCTTGCCGATCTACCCCTTTTTTTGTCTCACTCTCTCCCTCTCTCTCATACTTTTCTGTATTGCGATCTCTTGCTTACGTTTACGCTCTGCACGTTTTATACAGCCTTTGCCAGCAACTTTTTAAATTAAAAGCCAACAGGCGACGTTTTTTCAATTCTTTTTCTTTTCGTCGTTTTCTGCTTCTGCTTCTGCTTCTTTTCTTCTACTTTGTTTGTCACATAATCAAAACAAACGCGCGTTTTGATCACGATGCGTTCTTTGCTTTTGTTTTTATTCCGACTTCTGGTTGTGCCTGTCGCTGTTGTTGTTGTTGCCAACGTCTCTCGTTCTTTCGTTGCGTTTTGTGCCTACGCTGCTGCTCATTAACTTTTTACAGCTACTGTTTCTTCTCTCTTCATACGAAGTACGTAATTAATTTGATGGCCCCGAATTGTTAGAGGAGCGCGCATAGCCGCCCAGATAAGCCCCCAACCTCCAAATCCAACGTGCCGCGCTCCAAGCGAGGCAGTCGTAAATTGCCTTGCGTCAAATCAAATTAGTTTCAGAGTTCAATCTGTCCATCCCAGCGAGCATTCGCAGTTGATTTTTGTGTATGCTCAGCAGAGTCTTTATTGTGGTTATCTCTGGGACTTTGTGTTTTTGTCTACAGCTTGACCTTACCGAGATCTGTTGGTCATTTAAAGATTCTTCTTTACAGTTAGATGCATAACTTGATAACGGTTAACGAATTAATCGTTTTGAAATTGTAATTTTAGTTTGTTTACATACAAATTGTATGTTATTTTATAAACTTTTTTCCATATCCGATTGTAATTTTAGTTTGCTTACATACAAATTTCATTTTTTGTAACCTTTTTCCCTTCTCCGATAATGCCGAATGTTCCTTTGCCAGATGCTCCCAGCTCGCAATTCTAATGCACAGTTAGTGTGTGTGAGTGTACATCCATATATGCATGTGTATGTAGAGTAGGTACGTTTGTGCCACATTTATGTAGATTTTGTTTGGTTTAAGTAAACATATCTTATCTAGTGGTGCCGCCCACACACACAGGCCGCATGAATAAGGTGGGCTGTGGATGCGCTTTGCAGTCTGCTGCAACTAGAGATGTGTGTTGCCCAATTTGATGGGTTGGTCACGTGACACGAGCCAGAACTAATCGAAGAAGTCGATGCTGAGTGCAGCTCCTTTAAAAACCACGTCATGTAGCAAGAAAAAAAAAAAGAAAAATTAAAAGAAAACGAAACACAAACCAGTTAAATTAAAGCACAAGAAATACAAGCGACCCACGTCAAGAAAAAGGGACATGGTGAACATAAATGCAATTGAGAGACATGGCCATAGGATATACACCATGTCAGCTGCGACAGGCCACAGCGGAGCTTTGGATGCGCCAAGAGCCAGGCTCATGACAACCTGCAATCAAGCGCCAGAAGGCAGCCAGCCAGTCAGCCATCTAGCCAGCAAAGGTTGCAGTCTGGGCCATCATCAGCAGGCTGCATGCAATCGCGTAGGCAAGAAACGTCATTGCAACAATGAGGCGACATTTGTGCGAGAGGCTTTAACTTAAATTATGCGCCAAGAAGCAAATAAGGTCTCCACTCGCCAGTCACCATAATGATGCCAATGCATGGGCCATAATCAAGTTGCCCGTTGCACAAAGTCATGGTCATGTTTGTTGTTGCTGCTGTCTTTCCCAACTGGCAACAACAATAATTTTTGTTGTTGAGACAAGAGCCAAACAACAACCACAGAAAATAATTAACTCTGAAACGCTAAGGAACCGCACATAGAGCGCATCCAGACTTATATAAATAAATGGCTTTGTGGCAAGCCAGCAAGTTTTCAAGCGGCAGCTGTTTTATCAAATCAAGCGCGTGCCAAAGCCATTTCTGCACCTGTGGCACCTCCAGTGTGGTTTAATATTTCGTTAAATCGACAATTTAAGTGATAATTTTTACCCAAAACAGCTGCGTGCAAGCAGAACACGAGCCAAATTTCCAAAGGGGGAATAAAACAAGCTGAGATGCGCTTATTAAACTGGTTGCAAGCTGATGCACACATAAATTGGGTTTTGAAGACGCTGTCAGTTCGTTCGGTCAGACAGTGTTTCAAGTCGTCTCAACTCCTGTTGTTGTTGTTGCTGCTGCTACCCCTCCTGCGGCTGGTAGAAACAAACTCAGAGGCCTGTGGGGGCTCAGCTTCTCAATTCTGTGAGAGATGGAACAGCTCCCATTAGACGTAATCGTGGCGCAATTGTCGTTGATTGTTTGTCGTCCGTTTTTCTTGTGCTCTTTCTCAGCTAGCCCCTCTTTCCAAATGTAGATGATTAGCTAAAATGCGTGCGAATCTTCATTGAGTCGATGACAATTGCTGATGTCAGCAATTTATTTACATAGATCTAAATAGCAACAATTGCATATGGTTACTTGTCTTGCTCCAATTCTGCAAATAACTAAATTTATATGTTTTTTAAATTAAGATAAAGCACTGATACATTTTTGAGCAATGGCAACTTTAAATAGATTACCATACAATTACCATAACATTATTTATCGAACTAGAACCAGTATTTATTCAATTTCAGCCAACTCAATTATTATCGAAGTGTTATCGAAAACGTTTATTACAAATATCAAATTGGTGTTGTAAAATACCAACGGGACAGCAGCAGCTGAAGGCTTATAACAAATTTGTAAACAATAAAATTATTAATACATTGCGCGCAATGAGATCTACTGATGGTCAGTCTATCGCTCAACGCTATCGGGTCATTAACAACAACAAGAAATTGAAAGTAACACACAGAGCCGTTGCACCATCAGTTCACAAAATGGGCAGCAAACGATTTACCCAAACAAAGTTGAAGCAGAGAAATGTTTTGCCTGAATCAGAAGACTACCAGGAAGACGACATGTCCCAACTGAGTGATATGGAATATGTGACAGAATCAGAGGCAGGCAGACATTGTAAGCAATGAAATTCAAAATTAATCTATAATATATATTCATAGATGGAACAGACCGACAATGAAAAAGATGCACTAAAGACATTGACGTCTACGATTCGACCGCTGCTTCAACTCTTTTCCGACGATTCCTGCTCACCTAGAAATGCAGATTCTGTCAATCACAATACAACATTTCAGGATGCAAAACAGAAAAACCAACAGATTGTTTATAAAAATATCAATCTTTCGTCTGAAGAAGATGATGAGGAGGAAGAGGACGGGGATGAAGTGGAAGACAAATCAATATTACAAGATGAACATAATGCATTTGTGATTGATGAAGCCCCAAGTGTACCAGAACATAAACCAATCCGCCCAAGATTGGACAGCCTTAGTCGATTTGAGTGGTCCCCAAAATCAACAAACATTTTCCTAGATCTGTGGGAAAAACATTTAAAAGATTTACGAGGCCCAAGAAAAAATGCCCACATACACAAGGAAATGGCCGAGGAAATGAGTGAATATGGACCTAGTCATAAAGAGATCAAATCAAAAATGGACAATATGTCTAGGAAATTCAGGTACTTTACAGTGGAGTGATATATCTATATATGTTTGCTCATATATATTTATAATACTTTTTCAATTCTAGACTAGAAATGCAGAAAGTTAAAGCTGGGAATCCTACGAATTGGCAATATTTTAAACGAGTTCAATCTCTGCTCATTGGAACGCCCTCTGTAGATTTTGAGGAAATCATATTCGATAATACGGGTAACCAGTTGAAAAACCCAGACTTTTATGGATGAATTCATAATTAAATCTTCTCAACACAGATTCCTCGACATTTTTCAATGCGGACAGTAGTGATGAAGAAAATCATATCCATAGCAATTCACATCCGGATAGAGAATCAGAGCAGCAACCTATGCCCACAGACGAGACTGAGCACGTCGTAGGAGAGGAGTTAGAAGAGCAAGACCAGGCAGATGATAAAGTAGGGCGACCTCCGTCAAATTTACGAAGATCAGATAGAGACAATTATTATCACGCATCAAGAAATGATCCAACAAGTCGTATGTTGGATATTGAGGAAGAGAAATTAGCCATTGAGAAACAAAAATTACAGGTCATGAAACATATATCCCGAGAGCTAACATCGATAAGTAAAACGCTAATTGAATTGCTGCGGAATGCAAAATAATAGAATAAAGTTTACGCAATTAAAAAAAATATATGTATGTATATTTTTATATTATTTATACATTTTAATTCAAATTTAAAATAAATCTAAATCTCGAACGAGATAACAATAGAAAATATCAGTGTTAATATGACCACCGTGTTTTTAGTATTTTTCTTGCCTTCGTATTTTTCGTTTTCTAATTAGGGTCACACTGGTCAACACGCTATGGAAAAGCCTATAAAACACGAAATGTTTATAATAAATGTTCAGGAAGAAGAGGCAAAGTGTACTGAATCACAGTTGGATATATTACTTAAAATCCACGATGGCCAGTACAGACTAGTAAAGAAGAAGAAACGCAGCTCTGTGTGGAACGTGTACAGGGAAATTGCCCGTCCGGACGGCACTAAGCTAAAATGGAGATACTATTGCTTGGGATGCAAGCGTGTAATGCAATCAACTGGAGGCACTACATCCAATCTGCGCATACACAAATGTCATGTACGTTACCTGAAGCAGCACGGCAAGGATGGGGAGTCGCCAAAGAAATCACAAATCCGTGACAGTGAGCAAAGGACGCCAATGACAACGAGTAAGCGTCAAATTCAAACCTACAATGATTTCGTAGATACAAAAGCAGAGTACAGCGATGAAGAAGACTACGAGGAACTCAGCATCACACCAGCTTCAAATATAGAGGTGAGTGCTGCCTGGCAGATCATTATACTTCTAATACTTACTTATATTTCTACCCTTTCATAGATTGAACAAATTGGTTCACAGGAAGAAAATCACACGTCCGCTGAGAGACCACTTATTAAGTTATTCTCGGAGGATGAGGTTTGGTCACCCGAAGTCACCGAAGAGCATCCCATCGAAATAGATAATGTGACTGAAGACGTATCGATAGACTTCAGTAAGGAAACCATCCATCCTAATTCCTCTCAAGAAATTCACATTGATGCCAGTGCAATCTCTGAAGCCGAAAGCTATGCCCGGGCCTGGGCTCATGCATTCCTTAAATTGAGCGAAGAGCAAAAATTCTTTGCGAAACGTTCAATTGATGAGCTTTTGGTATTGGGAAGATTGGAACGACTGAATATATCGACGGTGACATCGCTGACAACCAACTTATAAGGCTCGAATTATCAACTATAAAACATGGCTAACATAAGCTTGATATTTAGTTTTATATACGCATATATAAACTACGAAGACGTTAAATTCTCAAATTTTAATTGCTTATTAACCTAAGGCTTATTTAAGCTTTTCATTGCTCTGGAAGTTAATAAATCAAAACATTGTATCACGCAATATATTCTTGAAAAAAAAATTGTATGAGGAGCCTTCAATAATGGCTAATATTGTGAGGCTAGTTTAAACAGAGCTCAATTGTAAAAATTATTTACTATAAAGTTAACCCAATAAATGATAAAAAGTGCTTTTCATATTTTTCAATTTTTTTATTTTTTCCAATATATTTTTTTAGTTTTTTTTGTTTGTTTTTCTTTGTTGCATTTTGCATTTTGTATATACTTTCTTTGCTGTGAATTACAAACTGTTTCCTCCCATCTGCTTTCGCTCGATGTTTCGTGTACATTTGCGGGGCATATATATTGAATAAGTTTCTCCTGATCTGAATTTTATTATTACAATTAAATGTGACTTTCGATATTGAGAGCTTACGTATATCAGATGTATCTCAATGATGGGACAATCAGTGAGGTGTGTGTGGTGTATACGTGTGTGTGGTATAAATGAATTCATTTTTAATGTTAGGATTTTTGGTCAACATCTTCAATACGAAACTCTATAAATTGAAAGCTGGTAACAATCACGCACAACAAAACTCTCATGTAAAATTACAAATTCAAGATGTTCAAATAATTAGTTTCTTTGTATAAATATGTGTATAAATATATAGATATATATATATATACATATATATGTATATATGCATTTCGTTTGTCTCTAATATACGCAGTTTAGGCTTCTGTGTCTATGAAGTTTATTGCTTGCCTTTGCCGATTTTATAATACAATTTGAAATTTATGCAATTTTTTTGCCATGCACACACATAAAAATGTTATATCAAATATATCATTGAATTGAATTTGAAGTTGTTGGTTTTGGCGTTTTTTTTTTGTGTTTTGTTTTTTTTAGTTCCTTTTTTTTTTTTTGGTTTATCATTTGTAAATCTTACATTTTCGTTTTCCTGTCGCTTGTCCCAGATGAAAACAAAACATAAAATATGCGGCGGCCCATTTACATATTTATACATGGACGAATTTTCATTTCCATCTATTGTTGTTAATTATTTTGCATTTTCATGTTGTTGTTGTTGTCGTTGTTGCTACTGCATTTTTAGTTGATATTGTAGTTGATGTTGTTGTTACTGTCTACTGCAGTAGTTGCTGCTTCTTGTTGTTGTTTTTGTAGTAGTTTTTGATGTTTGACTTTTTTTCAGTTTCTTTTTTTTTCTTTTCTTGTTTTGCTTTGTCTAAGCGGTGCTTTCTGTTGTTGTATTTTGCAGTTCTTGAGCGCCGTTCTATGAGTGAAGGGGTCGGGAATTATGTCAAATATTGGAATAATAAGAAATAATAAAGAGAAACAATAAAGTCAAGATCAATGCTGGAGTAATTTGTATGCAGTTAACACAATTCGTTGCATCATGTTGTTAGCCCCACAAATAAGTCTATGTACAGATACATATGTAACGTTAATTCAGCGGCGCGCTGTTACATGCATTCTAAATGAAATGTTAAGAACCAAAAAGCCTCTTATGTTAACTACCTAAATATATATTTATATTTATATAATATATAAATATATTTAGGTGTGTGTATGTGTGTTTACTTGTGAGTGTGTGTTAGTGGTTAATTATGAGCACAGTTTAATGTATTATTCTCGTTAGTTTGTAGTTGCCGCCACCGAAAGCCACCCTGTTGTTGTTGATGTTGTTATTATTGTTGTTTTTGCAGTACTGCTTGTTGTTAAAGATGTAGTAGTAGTTGTTGTTGTTGATGATGTTGTGGTTGTTATCGTTGGTGTTTGTTTGCTTTTGGCTTTTAGTTCATTACCTGCTGTGACTGTTGTTCCATGCCACCGCCGCCAGGTCCATTGGGCTTACGATTTTGACGGCGCGGACGGAACGGCTGACGTGGCGGTCCTTGGCCGCCTTGGACTAAAAGAGTTTTTAGCCTTATTAACAATTATTTTTATTATTTTCAGAATCCGAATACTCACTGTACTCGCCACCATCACGACGCGGCGGTGGTCCGTTGCGTCGGAAAAAGCGTCGCTGAGGTCCACCAACTCCGCCACCACGACGCGGCTGTCCATCGCCGCCGCGCTGCATACCATCTGAATTGGAATCATGAACGCCAGGTTCAGCACTGCCATCGCCGCCGCCTAAGACGCGACGTGTCTGGCGCGGATAGTAATTATTGTAGCGACGTTGTCCGAGTCCACCGGGTGGTCCGCCACCACGAGGAGCACCGCGTGGGCCACCGGGTGGACCACCAGGACCGCCACCGGGACCACGACGATAATTCTGACGTGGCTGGCGTGGACCCGACTGCATTTGCTGTTGCTGCTGACCATCCAGCTGCTGTTGCTGCTGCTGTTGTGCCGGCGCCATTTCATCACCTTCGTTGTCGCCCTCGCCAGGTTGCTTGCGGCGATTCTTCTTCATCCATGGTCGGAAGTTGCGACGTTTGTCAGCAGCAAATTGACTGCCGCGCACCGGCTCTCCAGATGGCCCAGTTACATTGGCCGCCTCATTGCCCTTCTCACCAATCACCACATCAAATTCAACAAGTTCACCGTCGCCAACCGAGCGCACAGCCTTCTTCGGATTGTTGCGCGCAATGGCACTCTGGTGCACAAAGACGTCCTCTTTGGTGTCGTTGCGATTGATGAAACCATAACCGCTCTTCACGTTGAACCATTTCACGGTGCCGGTAACTTTAGTGGCTGTAACAAAAATAAGTTTATGTCATTACTTAATCGATATATAACACACCAATCACATAACAGCTAAATATATTTAAATTTTAATTCTGATTTATTACCAAATGAGTCGTGAATGCTATTAATTCCTATCAAAACAACGTTCCCTCCTTTTGTCTGTTTCACATGCCGAAAATTTCTATTGGGTGCTCAAACTACTGTGTATACAAATAAAGTTACCAAAACAATGAACACATACACATGCACACGTATGTAGAAACGCACACAATTCACTCTCGTTTCGGGTAAGAGAGTGCGCGGCGCGCACCGATAGACTAAATGAACGGAAAAGAGAGAACAGTGAAGAGAGCCAGCAGCCAAAACGACGGCTAACAAATTGGGTTGCCAACATTTGTTCGGTCAGCCGTATGATGGGGCCGCGGGGGTGGGCTGTGCCACCGGCAAAAAGTAGAATTTTCATTTCGTTTCTTGCGCCGCTTTTCACATGCGGCTGCGGACGAGCCGGCGAATGTGTGAATATATATGTATGTATGTACAACATACAAAATGGCGGCGCGCGTATATTTTAAGACACGCACACACACATAAACACGCACATTTTTCACATATAGCCCGCCGTTCCTTTCATTGCTATTTCGGTAGCACTTGCCATGTGTTTAGATGAATGAAAATGCAAATTGATTTGTACGCTTACCAATAATTTCCTTTGGAGGCGGCGCGGGCTTGCCCTGCGCTTGCTGCCCCTCATCCTGCTGTTCTTCCTGGGCCAGCGGCTGCTGCTGTTCTATGGGTAGCTGCTGCTGTTTTTCCGAGTCTGCCATCTTTCTAGCTACGTTCGTTGTTCTTCTATCTCAAACGTACACACACACCTACACTCTCGAGCTTCCAAAAATAAAAGCAAGAATAAATAAAGTACCCTCTCCTGCTGTTTTGTACACGGAGTGCGGCAAAGCTTTCGTCTGCTGGTTGCCGCAACTTTGTTTTTTCTTGAATTGAGTTTTTGGTTGCTATTTTCAATTAATCGGCTGGTGTTGGTAAAAGTGCGGTTCGAGTTGTGGCACTCTTTCAACTACCACTTTGATGTTATTTTCGAGTGTGATGTTAAAACACTCACTCGCAGGGTTTTCTTGGCGATTCTATTTTGTTCGCAAGCACAGGAAGTGAAACATGGCAGCTATAGTAAGTGTTGTACAATTTTTCGATTGCTCTAGCACATAGTTGCTTGTGTCGTATCGATATGTGTCAAGTATCGTGTGACAGCACGAAATGAGGTGTTTTCATATTTTTCAGAACTGGTTATTCAATAGTTATATCGCACCTTTGTCGATATACGTCGATAAATGAAACCAAGTATTCATTATAGTCGTTTCGGTCTGCTGTTTATTTCATAAAGCTCTTGGACAATTTGTTTATAGGTTGCAGAAGAAAGCTAAATACCGTTGGAATATGTGTATACAATTTGTAAAACATGTTTGCATATAAAAACTGTAGTCAATAGATGTTTGGAGCTTATATTATGGCCGACAACAAGCTGCAATAGTGTTTTAAAAGAACAGTATTGGGCTTATTGGACATGTAAGTGATTTATACGAACATAAACTATGGTGAAGTGTTAGTTTTATAAACTCTTTGGAGTGTACTTAAAAAAGCAACGTTTATATGCGTTTTAATTGCTTGCTGGTCAATTAGCTGGAAAGTGGAGGTGACATCGGCGCTTTGCCGTCACATCGTATGATTCTCGCGCGCAATCTGATTGGTCGAGAGGCGCTTTTCACGTTCATAAGCGTGTGCATGCGTTGTGTATGTGTGTGTGCATGTGTGTGTGCACATGTGTGTTTGTGTGAGTGTGTGTTTATTTGTTTTTGTTTGTGGCTGGTGTTATTGCGCCGCTTTGAAATAGAAATTTCATAAACAAAACAATGATTACAGCATAACAATACCCTACAAGCAATAAAATATATACTGGGATATTTATTCAAATAATTACCAATGTAGTTTTTAATTTTGTTTGTTGCTATGACTTTTAGGGTATATAGAAGTCGACCATTAATCAAAGTTTTTTATTTATCAGCAGTATCAACGGAAAATCAAAACAATAAACACATCAGCTGAAAGAATTTCAACTATGGACATCGACCCAGCATCATTGGACATGGAGCTCATGTCCAATACCATGGACATGTGGAAGGAGGAGGAGGATGCTTTGAGTATCATTAAAGAAATGATACCCTCTGATATGCTGAACACGTTCCTAAATGAAATGGACTTGGATTTAGATATGAACAATTCAACGCCGTTACTCGAATGCGCCTTGGACATGCAACAGCTACCCCAGCAATCGCCACCATTACAACAACAACAACAGCAACAACAACAACAACAGCAGCAGCAACAACATGTGAAGAGCGAGCACGCTTCTCCGGTACACATCAAGGAGGAGTTAGTCTCGCAGCAGAGCAATCTATTCGATCCGCCCAT